TACTACCAGACACCAGTACCGGTTTATAAACCCCAAACCCAACTGCCACCGAGTCCATTTCAACTCGGAGCGACCCTGTAGAACAGTGGTTCTCACCCTTCCTAATGCTGAGACCCTTTAATACAGCTCATCTTGTGGTGACCCGCCCCCCCACCCTAAAATTATTTTCGTTGCTACTTCATAACTGTCATTTTGCTCCTATTATGAATCGGGCGACCCCTGTGAAAGGATTGTTCGACACCCCCCCCCAAGGGGTCGTGACCCACAGGTTGAGAACTGCTGCTGCTGCTGTAGAGGGTTTGGGAACTAGTAAGCTCTTTAGGAGCAGTTTCATCTTTCTCCTGAGGAAGGAAGGGCTGGTGAGTTTGAACTGACCTTCAGGTTAACAGTCCAACCCCTAACCCACCACACTAGCAGGGCTTCTTGTGCCAACATATTCACTAGCTTTATTAAAACAGCAGAGGCTCACTTCTGTGTACATCGTTTAGTAATTCTTCCATTTTGAAAGAAAAATTCAAACCTACCTCCATTTTCCTGGCAAAATTAGAATTCGCTCATAAATGCTTCAGCAATTTGCTATGATTACAGTTAAGTCCAGTAAGCAACATACATATAAATTAGGTACAGGTGCCAACATAAAAAAAAATCCAGCCCAGCCTTTTCGTAAGACACTGCTATGTACACCTTCGCAAAAACCGTCCCTGTAAACAACCACTGGCCAACTTCTTTTCTATTTAAAGAAAAAATTTTTTTCATTTAAAAATAGGTTTGTGAAAAAATGCCCAATGCTAGTATCTTTCAGCGTCGACACTAGGTAACTTTAAAAATGATCATGACTAACGAGAACTTTCTGACAGAACTGGGTACATGTTGACAAGATGAAGTAAATGCTGGATTCACACACAACAGGTAGAGAATGAGATACTGCTGCTCCAAGCAAGGCACATGAACCGCAAGCTAGTCTAGGACGTGCTCAGAGGTACGAGAAAATACCTGTCCTGCAACCTGTGAAGCGCTGGGGTCTTTCTCTCAATGTGCTACTACTCAAGTAATAAGGAAAACGACTCCAATCACCAGAAACGTACCTGGTTTCTCAGACTTACAGGACACACACTTCCTGTCGCCTGCATTATTAGAAACACAGCACACGGGACACTCCCAAGATCCCAAAGGCCTTTTGAATTTATCTCCAAACCCTAAGGTACCAGTGGTTGCAGTGCAGCTGGAGGACGATGCAGTCACAGTCACGGTGGTTTCTGAAGCCATCGGGAGAGTGAGGACCCGCTTCACACCCGTGCCGGGTTTGGGTGTTTCACAAGCTACACATTTTACTGCTTCGGGTTTATTTTGCACTAAACACGTATCACAGTCCCAGGTTCCTACTGCTGGTTTAGACTTGTCTCCGAAGCCTGTCCCCGGGGCAGAAAGAGCTGGCTTGCCACTTTCACTCAGTGTCCCAATCCCCGTCTGTTTGGCAGGGTCTCTTGGCGGCAGCTTGGCGGCCTGACAGGCTGTGCACTTGCTGTCTGTAGCTCTGTTCCGGAGTAGACAAGTATCACACTGCCACGATGACCCAGCTTTTAAACTTCCCCCAAGCCCAATTCCACTAGGAGAAAAGGTACTTATTGCCGGTCTTGTATAAACGGCAGGGCTTGTTGTGGTTGCCTGAACAGCAAAAGAATCTACCTTCGGTGACATGAAACCTACACGGAAAGGAGAGGATGCAAATAAACAAACAATCAAACAAATAAAAATAAAGGGAGCAAACTAACAAAATATTAACAGAAGTCTTATTAGTGGGAAAAAACATAGGTTACTACTTTATGGCAGATTGGCTACCACAATCCAAGATGAAAAAGTTAAGAGTTGTTTTATATCTAAGCAATCATATTCACTAGTCACTTAATTACTAATAACACACCTTGTTAAAATTCTACCAAAAATGTCTTATCTTATCCCTCTAAAATTTTCTACTTACTCTTCAACTAATAGCTACTTCAACACTTTCTGTTGTTACCAATTTATTGAGAGGCGGATCATACCTCCGTCTTACTACACGTAGCCTGGCTCCAATATCGATCGACAGGATGCTCCTAAGCCCCTCTTCTGACATTAGGTATTGGCTGGTTGGTCCGAGTCCCAGCGACCTCCTGTGTAACAGAAGGAACACCACCCAGCCCTGTGCCACCCTCCCGACTGTAGCTATGTTTGAGCCAACGGGGGCAGCCTGTGTCAACCCATCTTTTTCCCTGCCCTTGGACCTTTTCTTTCAAAGATTTTTCTCAATATCCAGAAAATAATTATTACTTTCCCCCTCAATGTTTCTACTTTAAAAAAAAAGGGGGGGGGGGACAAAAACTTATAAATGGAAAGAGGGAAAAAGAGGTTGGCAAAATGTCACCCTAGATATACCACATGCATTTGACAATTCTTGGTTAATTCTAGTACAGATATTCTGGAGTTGTGCCATAAGGATATGAAATTATCTAATTATTGAATTCCTATTGGCTGTATGCTCATCTGGTAAAGTTTAAGAGCTGGACCAAAGGGAAAGAAAGTAGCAATTATCAAATTTTACTGATAAAGCCAGCATTATTTACTTGAAAAGTAGAAACACATAAAGCTACACTCCTCAGTTATTGATGTGATTAGATTTCAAAAACCAGCATGTTATGCAAAATGCAAGCTATGTGAGTCAGGGTGCAATCTCTTGCCCTGGGCAACAGACACATCCCAGGCTGCACAGGCACTGCAAGGCGCCCCTTCTCTGCCACCGTGGAGCCCATAATGCTTGGGGATGATGGTGGTCATGAGGAGTCACCTGCCGCCAACCCTGGGAAGGGACCTGCTTATCCACCATCCACCCTCACAGCCCGATTCCCTCTGTGTGTGACCTTGCACTGTCTTGCCATTGCATGGAGTCCCCTGACTGGACCAAAAGTCAAGGGATGAACAGGAAGAGGCATCCTATGGACGGCTGGCTGCTCTTTCTCATATGGCCTTGCTGTCCAGTATTATCATCCAGGTTAAGTCCAGAGAGAGAAAGCCACATCTAGATCACTGGAGGCGTTGCCTAGTCCTATTTCCAAAGTTGTCGGAAACACAACATGTCGGATAATGAGGTAGTTGATAATTGAGGAGATGTACAATTACACGAACACACCTACCTTGTTAAACCTAAATTATTTCTGAGCTACAGGGTTATATAATGGATAGTTTAATATTCTTTCAGCAAATATTTCCATTTAAATTCTGAAACATCCAATTTGATTACAAACCCACACCATTCCTTTCTGAGAATTCTGACTCATTCCCTTCAAATTATTACCTGTGAGCCATTAACATGTGTTTCATTCCAAATGAATATTGTCCCCTATGTACCATCCATGTTTCAATCCAGCAAATACTTTCCAACTGGTCTTGCTACTGCTATAAAGACCACAAGTAGGGAATAATCTGAGGGAAGCACAGCAGCTTGTTGCTTTAGGGTATTCATCTGGTTCCTTTACTTGTACCCCACACTGGCCTATTTCTGTCATGCTGTACTGGAACAGGGAATCATTTCCTCCTCGGCTCCAGAGATTTTACTGAGTCTCTGAATCCCAAAGATGTAACGGGGTTTCTAGTACATTTCTTACAAGAGCTGACTATACCTATATTCAAAAGTCACCCTCTCCTACAAGGAGAAAACAGAAATGAGTCACGATTTTTAAGAAGTACAAATGACATTAAAACAAGCTTTAGTTTGTAACGGACAATTCAGACTATCCCGAGGACAGCTGTTATCTCACCAGGGCTTTTCAGAATATCTAGAACACTTCCTTCCTTCAGGACTTTTGCAGGTCTAAACGGGCCCTCACAAGCTTCATCTTGCTTCTCTGTACAGCGTGGACTGTTCACGGAAGCATTCTCTTGTGCTGTATTTTAATTGTAAAAAAAAAAAAAAAAAGAATAGGAAGTCAAGTAAGAGCATTGGACTCCAGGTAAATGCATTTAAAAAGTAAAACTTAAAAGGACAAATACTGTAGGACTCAACTTATATGAAATACTTAGAATAAGCGAACACACAGACAAAAATTTACCAGCAGCTCCCAGGGCCTTGTTGGCAAGAGGAGCAAAGTAAGCTCCTGGTTAAGAACATACCAAGTTCCTGTTTAATGGGATCCAAAACACCTGAAAATGGAAAGGACTGATGGCTGGACAACACAAAGCAGGTAATTAACATTACTCAATTGTACATATAAAAATGGCTGAAACAGCTAATGTTGTGTATGTTTTACGTAAAAATAAGAAACAGTTAAAAAGAATGTCTCTCACAGCCAACCTCACTGAGATCAATTTCTAAGACTTCTCCCAAATAAGCCACCAGAATTCAAAGATGATGAACATTAGAGTTTATTTGCCACATAGAGAGGCAAGAGTTTCCCATGCTGTTCATCCCTGACAGTCTACCTAACAAGGGCAAAGAACATAAACTATAATTACCACTGATTGAATTTCACTGGCAATCAAGAAAATAAAAACAAAACACTAGATAAGGATAACTATCATTAGGTATTTTGATTTCATTAGAGAATTTAGCAATACTGCTCCAAAATCCTTAAAAATCATAAACAGTTATTCCATTCCAAGGAATTCACGTCTGACTGGATGACCCTTCAGTAGTACTACTGTAACCCTGGTCAGCACAACAGTGTCAACTCAAAGGGGCTGCAAACCGCTGTATTAAACACATGCACACTCAGTCTAACCTGCTCTGCTCACAGCCATTCTCTTGCTCTATACGGCTTCTGAGGCTGTCAATCTCTGAGCGCAGAAAGCCTCACTTCTTTCTCTTCTGATTAGCAACCCAACAGCTATCCCTCCCACAGAGCCACCGGGCTTCTCCCAAGGTCACTGAATTGAAAAATGGTTTCCTGTTGACATCAATTCCAAATCCATATGCTTCACATTATTGTAAAAGCCAAAAGGAAAATCTACCGACACCTAACATCTGTGTCAAAGAAAGAAAAGAGACACTTTACCGCATTCTACACCCTGAACGGCCAAGAGACAACAGTGGGAAAATTCGCTCCCCTCAGATACTCATTACTCATGGTTTCCACCTTTGAAGAGCTTCGACGGGACACCAGTGGTGAGAACCAGAAGCACCAAAGTGAGGGCACTGTGCCTCGCTCGACACCACTCACAGCAATGTCTCACAGACTGAGGACTCTCCCCAGGCGTGAGCAACCTCAGCGCTGTTTGCAACAGACTCCTACTCATTCAGTCACCATGAGTAATGCAGTAAGAAAAACTGGGCAGGATTTTAAATAACGTTTCTTAGAACCAGGCATGAAATTAGACTTTTGAATAGGTTTACTCCTCTTGCATTCATACTAAAGGGGGAAGGAGGGAGAGTTGCCTAAGAAACGAACCTAAAATATTCCTGTTATCTTTACTTACAAGATTTTTAAAAAATTCTTATCCAGTAAAAAATAAATGGTATTGAAAACATACCAGTCATTCTTATTTCATGCTACTCTCATACGATCATGAAGATCTTCCCACGCTGGCCTTCTTATAAGGATAAATCACGTCATTAGGTTAGTAACCACAAATCTTGTGTCAGCCACTTAGGAGACCCCAGTTGTAACAACATGCCTACTTTTGTCCACTGACTAATGAGGATAATTTTGCAGATGAGATTCTCTGTCTCTCAAACATTTATATTCAGGAAGCTAAGTATGTCTGAATTATTAAAACGCACTGTCGGCAGGAAGACACTGGCTCTTGACTGTTTTTCATTCAAGTGAAGGCAATGCCAAGAACTGCTGAAGTGAAAGATTAGGATTTGAAATATTAACCCAATCTACTTCTTTAATGTTTTTTACCTGTTATATTCACAGGAAAATATTATAGACAATCAAGGGGGATTTCAGCTAAACAGCCAGTAACATCCCACCAATCATGCCCCAGCAGCATGAGTTCATTTACGTGACCTTCAACTTCTGTGGTTTGAGGGCCTAGCGAGTAAGCTAATATAGGCATGCGATTCATCTAAATGTGCAAGTGTTTTTTATGCAAACATTTATCAGAATTTGCGTCTTAAACTTACCTGATCTACTTGTTATTGGCTCTAAAGGACTACTGGAGCTAGAAAGTTCTGTTGTTTTAGCAACGGGCACACTAAATGTAAATCCAATCTGAAAAACAGAGGTCAATTTTGTTTGACAGAAATGACAAATATACTCTTCTCTTGTGTATATAGACAGATCTATTCATGAGCAATGAATCATCTTATGGGACATAAGAATAGCACAGGAACGTTCTAGATGATTAACGAGCCCATCAAAATTAAATGCAACATTACTCTTCACTGAGTCTGGAACTAAGACAAGCAAAATCACGATGAAAGGACAGTTTGGAGCCAATTAAGAAATCTGAATCAGTATTAAATTTTTGAGGTAAGTATATTGTAAACCAGCATTAAGAAAAGAGAGCCTCTATTTTCAGATGATTCAGAGATGTATTACAAGAGCATAATGTTTGTACTTCATTTTGCAATGGTGCAGGAGAGTGCATACGGTTAAACGCGTATGCCTTAAATGACACATAAGTATTCCTTCATTCAAATGGTCTGTAGACTCAAGGTTTTTTTATAAAGACACAAGAGTGCTTCTTACCACTAGACACTTTAGATTTGATTTTAAAAAGCAAAAAACTCCACACAGCATAGCCTTTAATGCCTGTCAGTGAACAAAACACATCCTTTGGCTTCTACTTACAGATGATGGAGGTAGTACATCTGCCTCAGTAGATTTAACAATTGGAGATGAAAATCTAAATATGGGACTGGCAGCACTGCTTGGAGAGGTCATTTGTACCTGATTTTCCAAATTAAGAAATGACACAGAAAGAGCAATTTAGAAAAGAAAAAATCCACAATAGAATTATCTTAAATTAATTATTTCAAAGAAACCAAAGCATTTTCCCCCCTTTCAGTCCTAAACGTCACTTTAACTTCAGAAACATTGAACACTAACAGCTATAACGTCTGGCT